TCTTAGCATGATCTTGTACTCAATAATTTTTTAATTGGAAAGAAATTTGGGAGATTTCGTAATATTATATATAGAATCTATATCAGACGTAATGGAAAAAGATAACGATAATATCAAAAGAATACATATACATATGGAAAATAACTAAAAACAATTATAGCACAATTTTATCAATAATTTATTTTAAAAACATTACGATAATTTTTTTTAAGAAACATTATGATAACAATGATTTAATTTGATTTTTCTTTCTTTCAAATGAACTGTGTACTTCATATATACTAGAAAATTCTTGTTGTGTTTAAAGTATTTTGTATTATTCAAAGTATATGGTATTAATAATTTAATTATGAATTGATAATGAGAAAAATATTTAATTAAAGAGAGAAGGACTTACATGACGCAAAAACCATAAAGACGAGTAGTAATGTTGACTTATAGCATGATCTTGTACCCAAGAATTGTTCAATTGGAAAGAAATTCGAGAGATTTTGTAATATTATATATAGAATCTATATAAGACGTAATAAAAAATATAATGATGAAATCAAAAGGATATATATATACACTTATAGAAAATAACTAAAAATAATTATAGCACAACTTTATTAGTAATTTATTTTAGCAACATTATGATAATATTTTTTAGAAAAATATTATAATCACAATGATTCAATTTGATTTTTCTTTCTTTTAATGAACTATGTACTTTATATGTATAAGAAAACTCTTGTTGTGTTCTTTATATATGTTCTTTATTTTTACTTTAAAGTTGAACTACATTTTTTTAGTAAAAAATTAGTATATTATTTTATCGAGTATAAAATATTAAGTAAAATTACTAATTAACACCAAGTTTTATCAGTTGGGATTTAGATATCGGCTTAAATATAATTTAATATTTTTAAGATATGAAACTATTTAGGAAATGTTAACAAAAAAATTATTTTTTTTATATATTTGCTACAACTTGAATCTCTAGTTACTAATTAATAATTTAAATTCTCTAAATCTCTTAGTATTTAAAGAAAATATTTTGATACTCAAGCTCATGCCCCAACACGGCTAGCGCGCATGCTCGAAGCATGCGCGCTTGTGGCTAACGGACATGAGCTTGTGCCTTGAGTGTGGAAACATGGCCTCCAATGCCTGTGCTAATAAAGAAAAATTAACCTTTTTTTACTAGTAAGTGCATTGGTCGAACAAGTAATGAAGAGTGATTATAGAATATTGTTTCTAGCGGCATACGAATTCTTAATTAACTATACTTTTAATATTAATTAAGGCAAACAAATAATGAATTTGATTAATAAATTATTCTAGGAGACAAAAGAAAAAATTAAATCTGAGTTACACACACCTAATGAGTGTTTATTTAAAAATTAAAGAAGTCAAAGTGTTAATTCGTCTGCACCATCTGTTAAGATTAATCATAAAATTATTTGTTAATGTGATCATCGTTCGTGCAATCAAGTATTTGTTACCGTCGGATTGGCAAGTCCGAATTCAACATGTCAAGGGAATAAATGTACTGACTGGTTGGTGAATGTTGGTTTATCCCTACCGGTAGGTCTCTATTCTCACGTTTAAGTGCAGAATGATCTTCAATAACTCTTCACTGACGATATTATGAGTGTCTTTTGACCCAAAATATGCATAACGATCTCTTATTTTTTTTTTTTGGTTTTTGCATTTCCTTGTACCAAAAAAAAAAATTAAGTTTACTTGTAGTTATATCCGTGATAATACATTTTCTGTAAGTTTTATAGCAGGTTGCTTATTCAAACTTACAATATACTATATATAGGTAGTTTAAGTATTCTTTATATTCAATAATAAATAATTATGTTAATTGATTAATTTTGTTAATTCATTTGGAAGTAATCCTATTACGTATAATATTAGACACAGTGATTAATTGTATTTAGTGACTTCTTATTTGTCAACCAATTACATACCAAAGAAGCATTATTATCTGTGTATATGCATATAAATATGCATACATTCATGTATATATATTTAGTTACTATAATCAATGCATGCGCATTTGTTGTCAACACACTTGGAAACGTAATTAGAAGAGCAGAAATTGTTGCATCCATCATCTTCATTACATGCTCGAGATAAACTACCATTCATCAAATCCAACGACGGCCCAGTTGGGCATCTGCAACGATGATGAATACAAAGTGCTGATCTTTCACCTCCTGCACATTCGAAAACCTTGCAGGAATCATTGTTTGCGCATGGTGCAATTGAGCCTTCGTTCAAGTACGCCCCTTCCACTTTCAACACTACAAAATAATCAAACCCAGTGTTACCCTCAATATTATATTATATATATATATATATAATATAATTCTTTTAATTATATTATGTAAATTCTTTTTTTTTTATTCACAAACATAATAAAATTACTGAAACTAAACTTTGATCACAAAATTTTCATAAACATAATTTAAATGCTTCAGCAGTGTTTTCTCCTCCTTCCAATTGGGTTCTAAACTTGCACTCGGAACACACCTGATCTACCAATATAATATATATATATATATATATGTATATATCTGTCCAGAGAAAAAAGGGTAGACATATAATAATTAGATTATTGGTAGTTCTTATTATCCCACTAATTTGAATGTTCAGCAGTGTTTTCTCCCCTTCCAATTGGGTTCTAAATTTGCACGCAGAACACGTCTGATCTACCCATATATATATATATATATATATATAGTATACAAAGAAAAAGGTAGATATATAATAATCAATAATGTGTAATACAAGTAAATTTAATTATAATATTCTGAATAAATAGCTAAAGATACCTTGAATTGCAGACTTGTTCATTTAGAAACTTAATCCCATCTTTATTCCATTAAACAGAGACCCAAAAGAGATACTTATTAGACAAGATTTCCCCTGGCCAAAGCCCACAACACCGACATAAGAGCTGAGGTTACAGACACCATAGACGACACTCCACAAAACCTAGCAATAGTTGGCCTATGAGAAACCAGTAAAGCACAAAACGCACCCAGAAAAGCAAAAATAATCGATATTATAAAACCATGAAACACAGAAGGAAGACCCTTGAAGACGATTGTTGGAACTGGACTTCCATCGATATATTCATGCGGAGTTATTATGAGTAGAGTAACAATGGCAAAAGACGAGAACAAGATAGACTCCAAGACCGTTGTTTGGATGTAGGAGCAATCTTGCTCCTCGTCTGGGTTGGCGGTCATGACATGGTGATTAGGAGAGTAGATTTTTAGAGGAAGTGACGATGCCATACGTCCATGTTTGGTTTGGAAGATTTGGGTTAAAGATAGAGAAATGGTTTCTTGAGGGTTATTGGAAAATTTATGTGTTAAAGATAGAGAAAATGTGGAGGTTGATTTCACACTTATAGTGGGAAGAAAGAAAAGGTGATGTAGGAAAGAAAAGGGCACGTAGATTCCTTTCTTGAAGAATAATCTATTTAGCTGCTTCCAAGAAATTAACTTGTCAAACATAATAATATATGGCGTGGGTGATAAGAAAATTCCATGTAGTAAATTGTAGTAGTAACAATAACTCATCTTTTTTACTTAAAGTGGAGGGCCATTTCATGATGATGGAGAAACAGTGAAAAGGAAAAGAAATTGCCGTGTTAATGCAAAGAAAGTTTTCATCTTTTGACGAACCAGAACTGTAATGTCCTTGATCTACTTTATTATATATTCTCCGCGTGAACGAGGATTTGGGTGGTCCGTATATATATATATATTATATAGATTCTAATCTTCTTGATTCCTTTTCTTATAATCAATACTGTGAAAGAACCGGATGCTTTCACACGATGTCCTTTACTGTAAATTAAAGTGTATATTAGTGACCGTTATATGTTTAGTCAATGTCAGTATACATTATTAATTACTGTTTAAGTTGACTGAAAGTACTTTTCTTTAATAAAATATTTATTACAAGAATGACATTTTTTTCACTTAAGTGTGTGTGTGTGTGTGGGGGGGGATATATATATATTTTAGCTTTTTAGACAAAATACACGACGTCGTTTTCGGACTAGTTTGTTAGCATCTTCCCCATTAACTTCCCAATTAAGCAGTCAAGGCCCCTGCGATTCTGGAATTTTCCTTCATCCCGTATATATCACGAAGTGCCACAAATCCTCTCAATTCACATCATCAACTTCTTTTTCTTTCACCCTTGGATTTTTCTTTTTTCTCATGGCCTCTCCGCCACCGCCTGGTTCACAAGAAAACCACCCACCACCCCCACCGCCCCCACCACCACCACCACCACCAACACCACCACCATTGATTTCCCTTCTACTTAATCTACTAGAGAGAATATTTAGATTTATCCAATCAAGACGACAACCTTCTTCCTTACCCAACAACACAATACCACACACTATCCAGAACTCCATTACCAGAATCAGATGTTACAACCCACCATTTCACCAATACAGACACTATAACCATTATCATCATCGTCAACCTACATTATGGAATTACAGTACCACTACTCATAATCTTCAACTTCCTTGCTTCGACATCGAAATGCAAACTAGTAATAATCAACACCAATCCAGAAGAGAATCATTATCATCATCATCATCATCATCATCATCATCAAGTATTAGCCAACAAGGTAAGACTTATATAAGTCTGACATACCAGGTGGCCGCCGCGCTCGCTCTGTCATCTTCTCTCGGACGGGAAAGCTTCTTCGCCAGCATTGCAAAGGTTAACGTTGTCCTAGCTTTTGCAGCATCGTTCAGTGGTATGTCATTGAGAAATGGGTATCCAAGAATCTCGGCTGTTCTTGAGAATATCGGCTCGCTTTTTGCGGCGGTTGGGTTTTTTGCCACGACCGGTATGTTTCTTCCGGAAAACTTAATGTGGGTTGGATGGCTAGCTTGTGCTTTGTCACTCCTAGCCTTCTCCTTATCCTTCATTAACTGATCAAAGTTAACAAGGAAACACTACTTCGATATCTTGGCTCCTCGGCCTCGGATATCAGGTATTTCAGAGCACAAATGATAGGCTGAGGTATCCCCGTGAACATGGGTTTAATATGTAATTTGATCAAAAAGAATTAGTGACAAGGATCTCGTCGCAAAAACCATCAAGACATGGGACCGTAGCAAATTCGCAACGGATCAATTGAATTGACGGATGAATTAGCGACGGGGGCAAATTGGCTACGATATAAGTAGCGACGGATGAATTCCGTCGTTCAATTTTCTGCTTTACTTAGTTGAATTTGAAGTTAGATTTAGATTGATGTTTATGTACGTGAAGAAGATAATCTAGAGTATGAAGCAGGCTAAGCCTGCGTGATGATAACTCCGCCTGTGACGCGCGGTTCATGTCCTATATAAAAAATCTTTTCCCACAGCCGGTCCCAAGCCCGGAGAAAGGAGGAGGGTCATGTTTAGGCAGCGAACCAACTTTATCAACGCCTTACATTTTGACAACGAATTAAATCACTACGTTTTGTTGATAAGGTAATTACGGATATTTTATTTAATTTTCAAATTTGTCCGGATTTTCTAATACTTTTTCTTGATTGATCAGGTTGCCAAAGCAGAATCTCATGGAGTACAAATTTTCAATGCTTAATTTCTAATGAAAGATATAAGCTGAATGGTCGTCAAAGCAGAGCAGTGATTTAGGCTGTTCGTGAAATAAAACTCCATTTACTTTAGCTGCACATATTGTGTATATATAATTTATATATATACACCCTTTTGTTTTTCATACATATTGTAATTTGGAAGTGGTGTGTGATACTTCTTCTAGTCTTTCAAATGAGATTGGCTTTCCTTTGTTTCATAAATAGATATCATATTCCCATCAATGATCTTCCTTCCCTGTTGACTCCAATTTTGGCCATATCACTCTGTTAAAACATGTTTATTCTCTGTTTATACGTACTAAAACGACATTTCCTAACTTTTCCACCAAATTTCAAATTTCATTCGACATCGTATTCAATTTTCACGGTCATGACTTTTTATTTACCCACATTACCATTATAGTTGAGTCACCTTCGATCATATAATTCTCTATACCCCGCAATCGGGTTATTTACCAAGATTAAAACAAATTCTTTTACTACCACAATTTCTTGGAAAAAAAATATATATATACTAAACACATGTTGTTTAGTCTCTCCAAATTTCCTCGGAACCTACTGGGCCTGGTTTATTCATAGCGGAGCCATCAACATTAAACTTTTAAAAGCTCATTAAAAGCGGCCCGCTCAACTTTATCGTAAACCGATAAAGAACCAAAATAGCTACTAAGATTTCCATAATACAAGCCCATATTGATAAGCACCTCAATTTCCATGCCCATAATCTTTTCTCAATTTTCTCTCTACATAGTTGCCAAGTTGGTATCGTTTCGAATTAGTCCCTAATCTATCTTAACTCGGGGTGTAGTCATAATTCCGAAAAATTAAGATTAATTTTAGAGAATTAATAAACGCAACGATGAACATAGGAACAGTTAAAAGCTCGCAATTGATGGAATAAGAAGCGGGTGTGGATAAAAATTATAAAACCGAAATGAGTATAGAGCAAATACGAATCTAATTACATATTTGCCCTGCACACGACATACTTTGCTCCGCTACACATATAATTAATAAAATTTTACTTTTATTTTTAATTATACTCAAACTAATCAAATTTTGATTAATAGATTCATGTTTTTATATATGTTTTGGTTAATCAAATTTTAGAACCTGTATATTCGAAGATATAAATAATTGTTAAATGATGCATGTATGTGCTCTTGTATACGTACAAAACCACATAATTTGAGCAAATACCAAGAAGGAATATAATTGTCAGTCAAATATACATATATATACACGTATTATCTAAAGTCCAATATGTATATATACCCTTATATTTTCATGCAGGATCTCATGCACCATTGTTGTTTGGTAGATTCTTCGAAGTATCACGCAAAATTAAGTGAAACAGAAAAAAAAAAAAAAAAAACCCAGAATAGTTATAATTAAAAGAGAGAGATTCAGAAAATGTATTGCTTATTTCTAAGATTTGTAAAAATACCCTCTTACAGACATTTATTTTCAAGTATTTTGAGTGAATATATAAAAGTATTTTGCAGAGTTCTTGAATATGTAAGTGTATTTGTTCTTTTGATATAAACATATGCAA